TCTTTTACAACTTGAAATGCACTATTACCTATCTCGAAGCGCTGCTCTTTTCTGAGGTTATTGTACATTACTTTCGTTTTCTGCAGATTAATTTTAAGACCCACCTTTCCACTCTCCTTGTCTAACTCCGTAATGATGAGCTGCAATTCGTCCCCTGAGTTACTCAGCAATGTGGTGTCATCGGTGAAGCGCAGGTTACTAATGTACTCTCCATTAACTCTTATCCCTAACTGTTCCCATTCTAGGCTTCTGAAAATCTCCTGTAAGCATGCGGTAAATAGCATTGGGGAGATTGTGTCCCCCTGCCTTACACCCTTCTTGATTGGTATTCTGTTGCTTTCTTTATGAAGCACTGTGGTAGAAGTTGATCCCCTGCAGATTTCTTCCAGGATGTCTATATATACTTCATCGATGCCCTGATTCCGCAGTGTCTGCATGACGGCTGATATTTCTACTGAATCAAACGCCTTCTCGTAATATATGAAGGCTATGCATAGTGCATGGTTGGTTATACTCTAAGTATTTCTCTACTACCTAATTGATAGTATGAATGTGGTCGATTGTTGAGTAGCCCGTTCGAAATCCTGCTTGTTCCTTCGGTTGATTAAATTCCAAAGTTTTCTTTTCTCTGTTAGCAATTACCTTTGTAAATAAAGGTAAATAAAAGGTAATAAAAGGTTTGATGACAAGGATGACTAAATATGTCTAGGCATTTGCGTAAGGAGGGCCTTCAAACGCTTCCCTCGTGCAATTGACATGTCAAGACTGGATACGTGATTCTACACGTCTACCGTGAAATATATTATGTGTTAAGGATACTCCACGCATTGCATGACATCCCTACAGGGCTATATTCTAAAGAAGCAGCCCATCATGACCTAGCTTAGTGGCAGAACACCTGCTTGCCATCTAAGAGGCCCGTGTTCCATTCACACTGCAAAATAAGTTCTTCACTACTCATTTATTGGCATCTTTTACGCATTTTCGCTCCCGACTACACGCATTTTTTGACAACCAACGACAACGACGCCGACACTGGAATTTTTGTAAAACGAGATATATAAGCACTATTGCGTGAAAGCAGCCCCCTGATCGGCGTGTCACAAGCGGATTGTTCTCTCTCCTCGTATTCGTGGACATGGTCTACCTCGTCGTGACAGAACCCCAGTTGGCTCGGTATTGGCGCATGAACAATCACTTCGTCAAGGACGTGTGAACAGTACCTTACGTACGTCAAGCGGCTCCTGTGAGACACTATAAAACCTACGTTTAGAGTGTCCTGAATTTGTTATCCACCGAATATTGTTCATCAAAAAGTAGGGGCCTATATGTATTGCGTTCACGACCTTTCTTGATTGCCTCTTTCCGGTAGGATGCGTGCTGCTTGGTATAACGAAGCATACAGGTCCCCATTAACATTATCAAACAAAACCGGCGTGGACCCACGTTTTTAGACGCTTTTTATGTGACTGTTTATTTTTGTTTACGGCAGTGTTCTTTGATTTTTTTCTTTCTTCTTTCTTTGCTACTATCTTCCTTTCGCCAGTCTTTTATTTTCCGCAGTGGAAAGATCTAGGCGCTGTGCACCCTTTTCCTTCTTATCTTTTTTTTTATCCTACCATTTTCTGCTCGCCCTCTCCCGCGAATGTTTTGGTTAGGGTGGCGACACTGAAAGAGTTATCGCGCACTCCTCTCCCATTCCCTTACCTTCTCTCTCCAACAATCCTGTCTTCTTTGTCTTTTCTCTTTTTTTAAAAATGAATAAAAAATCACTGACTGCTAGGGAGCAGTTGTCAGCCTGTTTCCCTCCATATTTTCCCTGTGTCTTCGTTTTTCCTTTGCATCCAAATCAATCATCAATCATCCAATGCATCCAATCAATCAATCAATCAATCAATCAATCAATCAATCAATCATTTATTTATTTACCGTGCTCTGGAACAACCATGAGGTGTGAGTGCAGGTGCACGCAAAAATAAAAGAATACAAATAAACAATAAAAACAATCAATAAGAATAAAACAATACAAATAATACAATACAGGCACTTAGGAAAATCAAATAAACAGTGAAAATACTCATACTAAAAAAATTAGCGCAGAATGGCATGAATAATAACACAAGGCGAGAATCATAGAAATGAAGTGAAAAATAAAGTGGAATATACACATCTATGCCGAAACCTTCCTGAAAGATGGAAAGGGAAGAGTCTGTACATAGTGAAAAACTATGTTAAAGCAGTGCAGAGCTGAGATAAGAACAATAGCAGAGGACTTGTGAAAAACACCAAGATCATGAAAGTTAACATTGTATAGACTTTGTACTCTGTGAACAGTAGAGTGTTGCAAGAAGTTGGCAGCTACATGAAATGGTCTATTCTTTCGTGTTAACTTACGGGGAATCTGAAAATTTACACAACTGATAAGTAAAGGGCAGGATAGCATACCGCGAACTAGTTTGTACAAAAATAATAGGCCAGCGCGATTTCGTCGGCAGTGAAGCGATGGCAATGTTAATTATCCTGCAGTTAGAACGAGATCCAGAGTTACTTCTAGCGAAACAATGATTGTGAATGTTTATGATTTTTTTCTGGACTCGCACAATGGCATCACTACCACATTTAGCAATCCTATTCCAGATCACAGATGCATATCCGAGTTGAGGAAGACATATGGCAGTGTACAGTTTGTGGATGTTAGGTGAACTGAGTTTTCGAGAGATTCTACAAACAGAGTCGAGAGAACAAATTCCACGCAAGGCAGCACGTTCAGTATGAGCAGAAATGTTTAGCATGCTATCATAAAGAACGCCAAGATCACTGAATTCATCTACCTTAAATAACGACGTGGTATTGACAGAGGACGGAAATGACGCGATGGGTGTCTTGCGACATATAGTCATGAATTTTGTCTTTGAGGTATTAAGAGAAGAGTTATTGTATTAACGCCATTCGGGGGTATTCAGAGAATAACGAATTAGAAAAGGAATATTGTAAAAACATCGTTAACGGAAAATAAAAATAATGGTGGGCCTAATGCCGACCCTTGACGGACTCCACTACATATAGTCACTTTGTACAAAAAAGACGTTTGACATTTACGGTCACATAACATGATCTATTAGCAGATAGGTGTGCAGAAGATTCACAGCAGACTTGTCAACATCTAAGTTTGTAAGTTTAACCAAAAACGGTCTGTGGCTGATTACGTCAAAAGTGCCCAAGAGCCAATAAGCTTACTGGTGCATTGTAACGGAACGTTCACTGCGCAGAAGCAACACGGGAACGGAAAAAAGACCGGGGAAGTGATCTTTTCATCTTCTTTTATTTTGTTCCGGTATTAGTTTTGCATTGTTCGCATTTAGTCTGATTTGCTATCCTTTAATTCGCTCTCATTTTTTCGTAAGCAAAAGCTAGCACATGCAATGATGACAAGCTGTACGCCTCAATGATGACCTGGTATGTACTTACTGCAGGTAAACTGACGGTAGTTTCGTAACAAGTGTGCATAGAATTAAAGCAAGAACTCCTTAGTCTTCTTCGTCTTGCGCCGTGCGCACCAGGTCTGTCGTTGGTCATTTCGACCCTCTGCGCTCTCCTCGACTTTGTTTCATCCCTCCGCTACAAATAAGGGACAATGTTGGAAATGGCTGCTATTTCCATGACACCATTTCTTGTCAGATAGCCGATGGTCTGAGTGCTCCTTCCTTTGAAGCCAATTTTACCACTTCAAACGCACCCACAAGTTCTGTGCAAGGACCACCACAAACTTTCCGCACCAGAATTATATATCATCTATAGTGTGGTAGGGGAATAATTCTGTTGTTTGTCTGAATAGTTGTACCTTGCGTTCGTTTCGTGAGTGATGGTTTCTGAAGTGCGTAAACTTCGCTGGTTCTACGCGAAAATACAGTGATTTGGACATCTGATTGTCACTGTGCCGAAAAAAAAAAGGGGCTGCACTTCGCCTCGTCCAAACGAACGAAACAAAGTAGCAAGCAAACAAAAAGGATAAGGCTTGAGGCCGTCGCCACTCGGGATAGATGTTTAATTCTGAATGAGTGGAGGGATACTTTAATAGGACACTTAGGTTCACTAACCCTTTCTCAACATAAAATCTTGAGTCCTAGGAAATATCTGTTGAGTTGAATCTGCTGTTTTCTTGAGCTTTATTTTTTTATTTTTTGGTAGATCTGTATCTGTTGCTTCTTTTTTAACTTGGGTCATGATTTCTTTTCCAAGGCTTCCTGTTCGTTTCCAACGCAATTATACACTAGTGACGAGATGTCAACGTATACAGATAATGAAAGAGAGATCAAAATAAGGTCGAAGTGGCAACGCAAATTAAAACGCAGAGGATGTGGCAAGGAGTGAAATAACAAGCCTCACAACTTATTAGCACAAAACAATAACTAAGGAAGCCCTCACCACCAGGCGGACATAACTACAGCTGTAGGCGTGACGATTCGCCAGCCAATTGATGGACCTTTCAACACTTCAGACAATCAGTACGCTGCCTATTTAGCTCACGTAGGCCACCATGTTTCATAGAAATTTGTACGCGACCAGAATCCAACAACACTAGCAAGACAATCTGGTTGCAGCCAGCGCGCGGAACAAGGCCCACTAAGAGCGGAGGGCGGAATACGCGGCCACCCTGAACTTCAATGCAATAGCTTGCAGATCGGGCTCCACACGCTGGGCAGTGAGCCAATTCAAACCACGCGCTCTGCTTACAATGGAGCGAGACGCCATTAAAATTTACAATACGCGATGCGGCATGCTTGTGAGAAATGTAAGTGGCACCCTAAGGCTGTCACACTATCCGAAGCCACCCCCTTTCATCTCTCTTTAATTTCACCCCCTCCTTGAAATTCCTTCGGAAAGGGCGCCTGTACCACGTTGGCCTTTCCTAGACTCGCAAGCGTGCTGCGAGTGGAGAGAAAGAGTGCGCACCGCGACTGCGCGTGCGCAGGAAAGGGCTTGAAAGAAAAGGGCGTCTGCGTTGGCGCCCTAAGCCAGTTGGGAAACTGCTCGGCAACGACGCGCAGTCCGTGTGTGCTTCAAGCAACGCTGGTGAAGATGCCACCGCTCAACTTGGGAGACCCATTTCCCAACTTCACATGCGAGACAACCATCGGCACCATCGACTTCCACGAGTGGCTGGGCGATTCGTAAGTGAACTGCCGCATTTGCGAGTGAAACCCGGCAACGATTTCCGCGCCGCGCCGGCGGCGTGCGAAGCCGGCTGTGTGCCGACGCAGCCGGCGTGGCTCGGAAAAAGCGAGGGAAGCCGGAGGGGCGGGCGCTCGCGCGATTATCGTGTCAAACTGCCGGCAGTGGCATATTTTCTGTAGGGATCTATAGCATGGGTGTGTGTGCTTGAAATATGGTCGCGTTGCATGAATAGCAGACTCCCATCACGCACGAGCTGCGTTAAAGGAGCGGCGCACCCTGCACGTGTTTAGTAAGCGAGAATATGGTGTCGGGGGCGCCGTATTTACGCTTCTATAATCGCTACTCGGCGAACGATAGGTATATTTAGACATATTGTACTTTTTCGAAAACAGACTGCTTAGCTTGAGTTGCATATGGAGCTGCAGTCTGCATGATCTTCGTACCGAAGGAAGAGAAGAAAGTTTACGGACGGTTGGGGTGTAATTGAGTTTAATTTGCCTTATTTAAATGCCATACTGAAGGCGTCCTTTTTTTTGGTGATACCAGAAAAAAATGGATTATTCGGTACGATGCATAGTAAACGTGATAGTATTTCAGGTATGTTGTTTTAAAGCGGTTCTGCGTCTATTGCAGCTGTCATGTTTGCTAACCGCGTTTTTTTCATAGCCAGCGGAATGTCCATAGCTGCCCCCTGACAAACGACCCTCGGCTGCGTGAAAAGTAGCTGAACTTTCTCTTTTAGCAGCAGAGCTGTTTAATCGGCGAGCAGAAAATGTGTTGGTTAATTTATTACCTTCATACAAGACTGGCGATGCTGATGATGTCCTATGTGAATGGCTCACACCCACTCAGAGGGAGTGGCCGAAAAACGACGTTCCCTCTTCTTCGTATTCTTATTCTCTCCCCCCCCCCCTCTTTATAACACGCACGCCGTTTTCTCAGGCGTCGGGTGAGACAACGATTTCAGAAAGTGTAAGATATAGAAAGAAGCATTCTCGGTAAAAGAATCTTTTCGATCCCATGATCCGATAACGGGCATCGTGGCCACTTGGTTATCCAGGGACACTGGCAGAGCATAATGTAGCGTTTAATAGAAAATAGTGGGAAAAGGAAGTCGGGATCCGAGATCTGAGGAGGAGGTCTCTATCGAACAATCTCGCATGACATATTCAATCATCTCGTATGATCATGCGTCAACACATATGCTTCATGTGTGTTCGTGCAATAATATTTGGTACGAGGCACGTGCTTTATGTGGTAGTTTTCATTAGGAAAAGGGGGAGGGTAGATAGTAAAGCAATATGAAGGAAAAAAAAGAAATAGAATAAAAAAGAAATGCATCGAAAGAGAGAAAGAGGAAGTGAGTGATAGTGAAATGAAATAAATATACGTATAAAAATAGAGAAATGGAAACGTACAAATGGGTGATCTAAAAATACAGAGATAAATAAAGATAAACTAGTGTCGCCTGACTCTGCACTTCCATCAGGCTTGGAACCACTTGTGCCAAGCTCACTTCATTTTTTTTTTTTACTCCCTCAGCAGCTTTCGAGCCTGCATCCGGCACTCAGTGACTGCATTGCTGCCTAATCAAGACGAGCTAAAAAAAACAAAAAAAACATGCAGTGATCATAAACAAGTGTCCGAAGAAGGGTTGTCGAAAGTGTTCGTTATCCCGATGGTCGCTTCGCAGCTAGTTGTACTGATTTTCTTTTGTTACGCAGAGAGGCTGTGTAAACGTAAAAAGAATACAGCTGGGTGAATAGCGAGCTGCATGCATTGCAATAAGCAGGTAGTAAAAATGTGCCCTGGAAAGCGCGTCAATGTCCGTCACAAAACAACCGACGCATACTGTCGTGCCGACGGCACGCATTCGTACAGACTGTTTGTGTATAAGCGTTATCTTTATTTATTTTGTTTTCTTAGATTGCCCAGTTGTCTTTTATTCGTAGGTCGAGAACAAGCGTTAGCTGAAATTTCCTCTTGTGAGCAACGCCAGCATTCGACGCTTTCGTGAGCACGGTCCCACGCTTTCAACCGCTTTCACGACGGATTAACGCGCTAACTCACTCGGTCGAAAAATTTCTCTCGAGTGCTTGAAGCACTGGGTAATCGCGCTTTATGGAATTAAGCATTGAAGTACTAAAAAACTGGCTGCGTCTGTAATGCATGGGCGGGCCTTTTAGCTAAAGCTGGAGCGTTCATCCAACGCTACAGTGAACGCTTAATGCAGAGCGTCAGACTGAGCCGACTCCATTACGATATACACAGCACACAAAGAAAAGAAAAGGGAACAAGCAACAAATACAAGCGCTAGTATTTGGTCTTTGCGGCGTCCTCTTATTATTATTTTTTTAGTGCTCTCTAAAACAAGTGAATCTCATCATCTGTGAGACAACTTGTGAATATGCTAGCTGCTAAACCATTTGAAAATTATTCAACCGCAAACACACACACACATTCGGCGCACATATGCGCTTTTCACGTTGTCATCAAAGGCGGAGAGTGCTAGAGGCAAGAGGAGGGGCCGAGAGACTCGGGCCCCCTCCAGGCTGCTTCATGTGAAGTCCCTAGAAATCGCTAAAGTAGCGCCATTAGTGACAGTGTGCAGGCTCATTTCCCCTGTGCTTGGTAGTGCAAGCGCCATCTTGTCTGCCCTCTCTCGTGCGTTTTCTTCTGCTTGTGCCATGGCCGCAGAAACACGCGCACGCTCCACAGTGACGCCGGCGTACCCCTCTTCCGTGCGCCGGGAGAGTGTATGCCTGTGGATGTCCTCCGAGATGCTCGCCCACCATCTCGGAAGCCATGGCCTGTGTCCGCAGTTTTCTGGAGGACATATAGAGACGCTGCTGTTGCTGATGAGAGGAGACGAGAGGGCGCGGTTGGAGCTACTTTAGTTTTTCATAGGTATTTTTGCTTCATGGAAAGCGAAGCACCCTCTACCCCCCCCCCCCCCCCCCCCTACCGCTCTGCCGGGCGCTATGCCGGGATATTATTTAAGAGCTTGGCTTAGGCTCTCATTAATCACCGACGGACTGTTCGCAATCTGTCTTCCAGTTACTTCACATGAGGATCTGAGTACCAGCTCCTTTTTCTTTTACGATTTTAAGATTCGGATCTTGAACCAGGGAAAAGGAGGGAGTCTCGGGTCATGGTCGCATTAAAAACTAAGTCGTTGGGCGACAAAATTGCGGCAATCGCACGGCTTTTGTGCAGAATATGTATATAGTATAGGCATAAGGAAAATGAGTTTTCTTTATGTAATAGTCAATGTTTTATTCTGTTATTTTTGATAAGTCGTGTTTTTTCTTTATCCTCCCGCTCTCGATTTACGTATAATATATATATATATATATATATATATATATATATATATATATATATATATATATATATATAAATTGAGTTCTAACAGCCAATAATGCCAAGGAAAGTGCACGGGACGTTATTAATTGTTCTGTAAATTTGAAGAAAAACAAAGTAGATGAAAATATCACTTGCCGTGGGCAGGAACAAAACTTGTGACCTTCGAATAACGCATTCACTGCTTTATAGCAGTGAGCTATCATGGTGGCTATCCTCCCACGCACTTTTTTGGGTATATGAGCCTATTTGGCGTCACGTAGCATGTGAACTTAATACGAGCTGGCAGCTGACCAATCGTCTCTCGTATACAACCTATAGGCACCAAGTCTGCCGGTACAATACCCTCGTTAATGAATAAAGGAGAGAAGCCATGTGTTAGGCAACACCATGTTATCTCGCGGGACCGAGTTCGCGGTCACATTTCAGTGAATGCAATCTGCTACAAGATCGTGTGCACAGATTTAAAAGCTTGTTAACCCCGCGTCGTCGAAGTACCGGCCTTCAACTATAACGTCTATTTATATCGCGCGCGTTTTTGGACGCAAGACCACCAACACTTACTATAACCATAACCGCTTTCTGTGCAGTCAGAAAAGGCTCTAAGTAGTGAAAAAAATGTAAAAAAAAAGAAAACACGGGGACGACAGGTTAGCCTACGCTGCAAGCTTAGTTACCTAACACTCAACATTGCCAAATTCTTCTATTCGACTGTGAAATCAATAAAATGTATGCCAACCCCTTCAACATCTGCCTTCAGCCGACCGTTTCGACGCGGGAAAATATTTCCTCAGCTTTCGCCTATATAGTCGCGCAAGGCTGGCGCAGAGCAACGCTAGTTGGCACTGCCTTGCGTAGGTTTCACTATAGGCACACGTTCACTCACACGCCCATGCACAATATGTTCAAGCGATCACATTGCGATTCACGAGTATTGGCTTGGTGTCGATCAGGTTTCACTGAGAATCGCATCGCAATCGCAGCACCGAGCACCTTGTTTCTATACATAAACCATTGGCCTAATTTACACATTCGAGGCTTGATCTAGATTAGGTTGCTTCTTATGTTAACCTAAGCTTAATGAGCTAATTAACCGATTGAGCTCTATAGTTAGGCACTAAGCTCTGCACATCACCTTGACCAGCATGGCATACATGAATCTCAGTTCGGCTTGAATAGGGTTTATTACAGTGTGAGTGCATTAGCTTAGTTATGCGTTGCTAATTCGGTTTTACAATGCCAAACATGGCTTTATAAGGCTTGCCGATGGTTGAATTTGTTTAGCTAGGCACAGCAGTTCTTAATTGTGCTTGACGCCGCCCCCGCGCCAGCAAATCATCACCTCTTCTCTACGTCGCGAACCGGGCAAACAGTGGGCATATCACCGATCTTGTAGAGAAGAAAGAAAAGAATAAACTGGCATATCCCAGGTACAGTGGTAATTGATGAAATGTGAGGCACCAATGAGGAAGGTGTATATGTCACTCCAAAATCAGCAAAACGTTACGAGACGGACGTAAATTATGCCGTACACAACTTCGATGTCATGATTATCATGTTTGCGCCTGGCATTAGGGAGCTTGACAATAGCGCACCGCGAGTCATTGCGATGCGGTCGCTGCCACTGCGCATG